GAGTGGTGCAGGGGCGAAGTATCGGGAAGTTAGCTTCTTCCTGGTTCCCTCCACAAAACGCAGATGGGATTTCTCCATGGGGTTTAGGATTATCACTGAAAATAACGTCTGTGATAAACAAGCTAAGCTAAAGGTGGCTAATGTTGGGCTATAAAGGAACTACAGCACGGTCACATGACTTTACGTCACCACCGCTAAGCTAAAGGTGGCTAATGTTGGGCTATAAAGGAACTACAGCACGGTCACATGACTTCACGTCACCACCGCTAAGCTAAAGGAGGCTAATGTTGGGTGTGATGACGTTTAGTCGTCTCATTTAGATATCTGTAGCAACCTCAATTTTTTAATTCACCAGTTGATTATTCACTGACACTTTATGTCTGAGAGTTCAAATCTCTTCAGCTTGTTAACCACAGACCTTATTTCAGGATAACAACCAAAAACACATTACAAAAAAAACATTTACTTCCAGACGAGGATAGAGGAAGTGCAAAAATGGGGACTCATTTCAGGGTTTTTGCACCACTCTATTGAAGGTTTGACACAATTTAGACTACCGGTGATTGTGCAGCTTTTATTGACAGCAATTAAAATTATATTTACAGGCCTCGGGGAGAATGTGTCTGTGCAATGGGAGGGAGAATAAACGATACTGAGACAGAGCTTCCTGACTGAGTTTCAGTGAAAGTCGTCTCTGTTATGATCCATTCAAGTTTGACAGCAAACACAAATGCTAAGTCAACACGGATCTATCGCAGCTCACACCACGCTGCCACCTCAGCACACTCTGCTCACAGCAGGCCGCCGGTTTGATGCCGCACATTCATCACCGTCCACTGTACGACGCTGCTTTCATTCCGTCCAAATATTATAGCAAACTCCGTAACTATAATCTTTATCTTAAGAAAAACATAATATAGTTTACAAAAAAAGTCAAACAGACCAAAATTAAATACTGAATTGCGTCTGTGGTCGAAAATGTTCATATAAGTCTTGAGTCAAAACTATATATCATTTTTAAAAGCAAACTTAGATGACAAAGAGGATGGGATCTGGACCCGTCTGGATCCTGTGATCTCATAAGATCGAGACACCGACAGCGGCGCCACTCTGTGCCCGACCCTGAACTTTGACCCCTGACCCCTCTGAAGGCAGCAGCGGGAGACCACATAAAAGAGTTCTCAAACCGGATCAACAGAGGAGCTTCTGCCTCATGACTCTGCTGACCCACAACCGTACGCAGACGGTCATGTTCACCTCCCGGAGTCTTTGGGACGGACAAGAGGCTAAAGAATAGAACTGTGTCAAATCTAAATAACATGGCGCACCTTTTCTCCCCAATTTTAGAGGTCACATTGTTGATATAAAGAATTTACCTAACTAGAATTATGATTAATTTGTTTCTGATATTCAGTGATTCTCAAATTAATGTTTTAAAACTCTGTTAAAAGTCAGGCTGTGGCAACTAACTTTTTTCCGGACATTTCACTGACAATAAGAATAATCAGGACAATAATAATCAGATTATACAACAATGAAAATGTAAAGAAATTGCAGTCATTGTTTTGCTTTTACTTCATAATGCAGCAAATTATTTAAGGTTTGGAGAAACTGTAAGGAGATTAGGTTTAGACACATACAAAGCTTTACAGTTAGAATCATATTGAATGAATCACTACGTAATCAGATAACATGTGCACACTTTCAACTGTGTAGAGCAAGGCTTGGTGTTTGTCTCCTAAACTAAAAATACTAAAAAGAGCTTTTGCACCGAGCGCCAACCAAATGGTCGGCGTTATAAAGCTGTAAGTAAGCACCGAACAAAATGCCAGAGCTGGTGTGAACAGGAGGAGAAAACAACTGGCCCTGCATGAGGCCATTAAAGAAGCTCCAGGCAGGAGGACAGATGGCCGACTCCACATTCCTCTGCCTCTAACCGCTGATGGGACACCTCTGCTGTCACACCTCTGACACCCACAATGCACTGCGGGAGACTCATCACAGTGAAGAGCAACGGCATTTCAATAAAGTTCACACCGGGCAGGGCTACAAGAACTCTGGCTCCTAATTTTGAGACCTTGAAATTAAGAAATCATCATTTTGAATGCTGGTGAAATGAAATGCTTAATACACTGAATGCACTCCTGCAAAAAAAGCAAGATGGCATGACAACTGTCAAATCAGAGGAAAACAAATGACTGCGTAATAATATTAGTAGCTGTGAGCTACACTACAGATGTCCTGCTTTAGTTATTTGTTTTTGTTCTGCTCCAGTTGAGCTGCTACAAAAAAAAACAGTGACAGAAAACATGTCATGCTCCTACATGTTCCCGGAATAATGCCAAGATGCAAATCCCCATGACATCCCGAAACCTCCTCAGATAAATGATCACAACATCCAGACATAATTCAAATAACCCCTCCTTCATGTTGGCCGCCGGCTGGTTAGAGTGTGTGGTCACCAGGAATGTGTTGGTGACAGCCGGGGTCACGTTCCTGACAGCCGAGGAGGCCGATAATCTCTCCGGCTGCATGTCACGCGACAGTCAAATCAGCTGCTAATGAAAACATGACAAAGAGAAGCCAGCCTCCTGCAGAGAGGAAACCTGAAGCTGCACATATGAGCTCCTGTTGGGCACTTTCATGGAAGTCCAAGTCAACTGGGATAGAACTGATGGTTTCAGGTCCAAGTTTACCAGCCTGTGTGCTCGAGTCATTGGGGTTTGTCTTATTTCTTATGAACAAAAAAGAAAGTACACTGACCTCCAGACATTCAGATTTACAGGAGCTTCAGACTTAGAGTAAATACATGCATTGTCTTCTTACTAACACTTCTGTTGCTTCTAATTTACAGATATTTTCTATACATTCATTTCACATGTTGAATATTTTCTATTAAACCAGACCGCATGAGGGATAACAAGAGCCTTGCCTGAAGAGAAATGTCTTGAGGCTTTAATGATGAGGAGGTACATCTACGTGAGACTGGACATTTGAGTCATTCTAACCACTGGTAAAATGTAAAAGACTAAATAAAAGGTTAAGACGTTGATTTACATTGTGGAATAACCTGAAATGAAAACACTTCCCAACACCGGCATATTGCCAACATCCAGATCTGGATCCAATGTTCCCGTGAGAAATGAAACGTCACTGATTTATGTGACAGTTGAGACATTTTTGTGTGTCGGGTTTGGCACTCGACCCAAAACCTTTGGAGAACGTCTTCAGACGGCTGACGAAGGAGCCGGATCAGCGCTCTGAAATCCTGCCGAGCCGAGCTTGTGGCTACGGAAATGCTTCTCAAGTAGCACGATGAATCAAACACAGAAAAGTGATTACGTGAACGCTGCAAAAACTTTTTAGATATATTTTTACCAGATTGAACAACTTTTGTCAACATCCTTGAAAACATCCCATCACATTTTCTTTCTGCACATTATGGACTGAATGTGATATATGAACAGGACTTATGTTTAGCAGCAGTCCCAACCTTTTTGGATTGACCACAAAAAGTAATCTAATCAGCTGAGAGCTCACGGCAAAGTTCACACTGGAAACGGCCTGATTTAATCTTTGCTCTTTGAAAAGCACTTTGAAACCGACTTGTTTGTTGACAGAATAACTCAACATGAGAGACTGACTATAATGAAACCAGGGTTAACATTGAAAACTTTCTCACTGAACATAGTTGTCTTTTTTGTTAGTGATTTTCGTTAAGCTGAAAGCAGAACATTTGAATTTCTGATATATAATGGACCTGTCCACGGTGCTTTTCTAGAGGCACGAGTTTCCACAGTTTACTTTAGTCACAGACATAAGAAAAAGTTAATTTCTCCGTCAGTGGTCTCGTCTCGGACCGGTCTAATATTTGCAGACGACCCCGGGCCTCCTCCTGTCACTCAGCAGCTGCTGGGGAACTCTTCAGGGTGGGAAACTCTCATTTTTCACTGCATCGCCAAAACCTCTGACAGCCTCTGCTTCACCCAGCGATGCTCAGTTACCAGCGGGAATGCTCCTTATTGGAAGAACAACCCATTTACCAACTGGTCTTGATGTTCTTTGTAAAAACTAGGAATGGTTATCAGAACACTCTACAACAAGTTAGAAGTCTTTAGTCTTTCAATAACCCGGCCTTTGTTGGCATGGTAATAGTTTGAACCATCTCCTAAATTCCTGAACTGACAGCGACTCAAAGTAGTTATAAGGCGCGCTGATGATAAAGTGGGTTAGGCTTCAGTCAAACACGTAAAGAAGTCCGTAAAAAGAAAGACAGAAGAGGTGCAGGTGAAACTCCAGCTGCTCATAAACAGTCCAGTTAATCATTGGACAGAAAGAAAGAAACAAGAAGTTGGGACTTGTTTTACAGAGGGCCGTGACGAGAGACCCACCTCCAGAAATCTGCCTCACAGAGATGTTTGTGGTTTAGTGCTCTGAAGGTCAATTGGAGGAAGATGTTGACATGCTGTGATAATATCAGACTAGGGGAACGTCTACTTTTTACTGAATCTAAAGATATTCAGTTAACCAGCATGTTGAACAACCATAAGCATCAAATCCTCACATTTGAGAAACTTGAACCATTGCATTGAACCGTGCATTTTTGCTTGATATTATTCCAAAATGTATTATTCGATTATATAAAATGGTTGTCGACCATTTTCCTGTTCATCGATATTCAAGAAAGGTTGCAGCTGTGGACAAAATGAGGCATAAAATAGTTTGAAGCACCTTGTAGAAAGTGTGTACGTACTGTAAGTGGATTAATAATATTAGATTTGACACAAACAACTGGAGAATTATCAATTCTCTGTTTCTAAATGTAATTCTCCAATGATATTTAAAAGAGCTGCTTTGAACCGTTTTGATCCAATTTGGGGAACATACTAGGGCTGCTCAATTAATCG